GGCCTCCAAAACACGGAAGGGGCTGCCGCAGATCCAGGTGAAGGCACCGTCCAGCGAGAGCATCATCATGGACCAGCAGGATGCAGCAGGGCTGCCGTGAGGCTGCCATCAGGGGCCTTCCCCTTCTCAAGGGCAGAGTAGCTCCCCTGGCCTCCAAGCATCTGAGATGCTGCCATGGCCAGCCACAAAGCTCTTTTTCCCCAGGCACCCCCCCTTGTCCCACCTGTCCAGAAGTGGTACTTCACCAGGTTTTTCACCACCCAAACCTGAGCCAAGATTTGCCCAAGCTGATGGGAAGATCCTGGTGGGTTTAAGATTGGGCGCACAGCATTCAAAGCTACCTGTTAGCCCAAATACTGCAGGGTTCAGCCCGTCCATGTGATGATCCTCCTGACCTGCAGCCGGTCAGGCTCACTGCTTGCTGCCGGGCCCAGCACGAGGACAGGGCACAGTCCAAACTCTAAGCAAAGGATGGGACACAGGGCATTAGCCTTGCAGAAAACCAACACCGTGATGGTGACGTCCCCTCAATATTAATAAACCTATTGCCAACCTCAGCTTTGAGGTTCTTTCTTGTTGATGCAAATGATACCCAGCAGTGAGACAAGCAGGGACATCACATTCATCCAGAAAGCCAATGAATTCAGAATTAAAGTACAATTGTCAAGGACCATTCCTGGGGTAATAAGGGCACAACTCCTGTGGGCTCACAGCAGTGAAGTCTGTGGGGATCAATTTTACTAGTATTAGACCAAATGGAAAAAAAAATAAAGAAAAAAAAAAAGGAAAGAAATGCTTTCAGCTCCTGGCTCCTGTAGGGTTCCTACACCCAGACATATGCATGTTTTACCCGAGTATATTAGCAGAGCTGTTAATTCCCCTTCCTGCAAGCCTAGCTTTCCCCAAAGGCACCTCTCCTTTCCAGCTCCCGTTTCCCCTCAGCAAGCCAGCCCTGCCCCTCCTGCACTGCTCTCTGGGCTATTGCGGGCCCTGTAAAAGTTGGGAGGGCATTTTCTGGATTGGAGCATGTCCCATGAAAACACACTGATGTTAATACTTTGTTCAAAGCTGACAAAAGCACTCAACAGCAAGGAGCAGAGCTCAGGATAACAACTAACCTCAGTTAGGATAAATTGTGGGCTGTTTATTGTATGAAAAGTAGCTTTATTAATTCAGCCCTCACGACCATCTGCAGAACTCAGTGAAGTCTTTAGATTGGGCTTGGAAAAGGCTGTCACCTGCTTAAAGCTCGTCAAATTAAAGCTGTGTGTAACCCCAGTTAGTCACGTGAACACCTCTTTCTGGCTCACTGCATTTCAGACTTGCCTTTTCCTAGACAGGTAAATCTCTGCACGCATCTATGGCGCTATGCCAAGGCTAGATTAGAAACAGTAAATCTTCTTTTCAGGCTGCACAGGGTCCCACAGCCTGTGTCACTGTGGGAGCTAGAGGTGCCACATGCCCCGACCAGCTGCCACCCTGTCCCATTCCCACGTCACACCTAGCGGGTGGCTCCCACGGGCTGGAGGTGCAGAGCTGGCACCAGCTCAGGCCATCTGCCCTGCAGAGAGCTGTTTTGTTCCCACAGGCTGTTGCCCTTGGCAGCTGCATTTTTCCAAGCAGTAAGGCCACGTGCGTTGATGAATTAGGTATAAACCCGCTCTTCAGGAGCCAGGTTTGCAGTTTCTGCACTGACACTAACCTGGCACATGATCTGTGAGCCTCAATTTCTCTGTCTGTACAAAGTCCCCCAGGAACACCCTGAATCGCGTTTGCACTTTGCAGAGGGTGAGGGGAGAGAAGAAACAAACTGAGAGGAAGTAGACATGACGCATCTCTCCAGAGCGCTCTTTATCGCATCCGCCCCACCTCTCTGGAAAGAGGGCGGCTGCTGGAAAGCAGGGAAAGTTTACGCGAGATCACTATGGAGAAGGAATGTGCTTGTGCAAACGTCACACCCAGCTCAGGCCTGACTCCCAGCGACTCCTGAAGAGCAGCCAGCTACGCCTGTCTGGGCACAGCTCTGCTGCGCTGCTCGCACTGCAGACATGACCACAGCTCCGAGCTGCGAGAAAGCAGCAGTAACGTGCTCACACCAAAGCTGTTTTTTTTTTTTTAAATGTGGTTGATGTGTCTCTGCATTTGCAGCATAGATCCACCCTCAGGCACCTGCCTCCGAGGGCAGGTTCAAGGGCAGGCCGAACCTGCGCTGCTCAGGGCACTAGCCTGCCCACTAGCACCTCCTGTTGTCACACACCAGGTCAGAGCGTCACAGGAAAAACAACTTAGCACCTCCCAAACCCCAAGCAATTTTTTTGTGGGGCAGATAGTCTGCATCAGGCATTAGAGGCAGGATCAGTACCAATTCCAGTGAAGGAACTAAGGGCTGCCTGGTGGAAAGAGGCACCACGACCTGGCTGCACCATCAGTCACCATGGTTCTGCTTGGGGAAAGCTGATCGTGGACTATATCTCCTCGAGTTCAGAGCTAAAAATTGTCAAGTCTGGGCTGCAGGCACTCTCCCTCACCAGGGAGCTCCTGTGAATAAATGAGGCTTTTGTAAGAACAGCAGAAGCTGGGTCAAGCATGTGCAACGTACGCTTGGCAAGCACAGAGAAGTATGCAAAAGTCTGGCCTGTCCCCAGTCCCTCAAGGGCCAACCCTTAGTTCTTTCACCCTAAAAACTGCACCAAGCATTTTGCAACTAGGTGCAGAGGTCTATCACACTTTACAGACAGCAGCCCTAAGGAACTGACACCAAGTATGCCTCCGAAAATCTGGAAAAGCTGTTTTGTTCACCACAGCTTTCCAATCCTACCAAATGCAATAGGGCAGAAAGTTGGAGCTTGTATCCAGCTTTCGAAAGAGACAGACCATGGAGAGAGCCTGGCCCTTCTGCTAGAAGGAATTCATCTTGCACCGGAATGAGACCGAGGAGGTCAAGGAAAGACCAGCTGGTCACTTAGCAGTGCAGACAAGTTTGGCCAACAGTTCATTTGAAACAAGATACAGGACCCAGAAGGCAAGTACACAACCTGTGAGGAAACACTGAGAAAAGGCAAAAAGGGCTGCTGTCCCAAAACTTTCCATGTGAGTAAGATCTGGAAAGCAGAGACAGGAAATGCCAGCTACAGAAGTCATTGGAGAAAGATACAAGTTTTCAGCCAGACTTAAACATTGCAACAGTTGCAAGTGCTAAGTATCTGAGAAATTGAAGTGCTGCAGCTCTGAAACTGCAACTGTTCACCCTAAGAAACTGGTCCTCCCAGTCCATTGAGCTTCATGACACTTCTTTTACCACTGTGTATGCAAAAGTAAAAAATATCCCTAGAAGTTATAGGGCTGCCAGTACTGGTGCGCTAGGTAGCTGTTGATATGTGCTGCATCTGACAACCCTTTTCCACGCCCGTTTGGTCCATTAAGTCACTGTCCTAGAACCCAGTGAGAAGTTTAGTTCAGAGCGTGCAGGGTCAGAGCTTGCCTGAAGACACAAAGCCTCAGGAATTCCTAGAGAACCTTTCTTCTTGCTTTCACGTTCTATAGGCACAAGCAAGCCCCTTCCAACCTGCATGCACAAATAAGCACACTACCCATTTTGTGTAGTAGAGACTCTTGGTTTTATTCGGTCTTTCAGTAGAATAGTTTATATTTATTTGCCTTTTCTGGCTTTGATCTTCCTCAAGTAGAATTCTAATTCCTTGCCTTCCAAAACATAACCATCAGCTCGACCACACTGTCCAGGTCTGGAGGCAATGCAAGCTGCAAGGAGAAGTCATTCAGTTAAAAGGAACTAAATAATTTGCAATCCCAGCACAAACTGAAAGAAACACTACGGGCACAGCCTCTGCGCACGCATCAAGGTGCAAAAAACAGCAACAGATACTAGCTTATGCACTGACTTAAGCATCTTCCCCCCTAAGAGCCCTTGCTCTGGAATTACTAGATTGAGTCCCTGATGAAGTCCTCTTCAGATCTCCAAACTGTCATCGCTCAAATTCAGTAGCAGAACTGGACAAAGGTCTCATCACCAGAAGACTTCAAAATACTAAACTTTTATACCAGAACTTGAAACTGTTAAATGCCATTACTTGTTTACTCCGGGCTTTTCCTGACACACAATACAGCCCATGGGTGTCTCTCTGCACATTTTGCAAGTCTTGTCTTATACCCCATGATCTCCTCCAGTGCTGACCAGGAGTGACCAACTCCAGGAGCTTTGTTGGGACATACGGCAATTCAAGCTCCAGAAGCTTCCTGCCAGAGCAGGGCTATCTCCAGAGAAGATACGAAGAGCACAAGTCAGAGTTAATACCTACAAAATACTCCTACAAATACCAACAGCACCATCACTACTTCCATTCTGCAGCTAGCTTTATCACTGCTTGCAGAATTTTAAGTGATTGCAAGACCAAGAGTAAGATCTGCTCTGCCACCTAGTTTGTGCCCTGACTCATCCCCACCCACACCAATGCTTCCAGGGACTCACCGAGCAGCTTTCCTTGCTGGAACTGCTCTTCAAGAATACTCGCTATCTTGGCATTCTTCTTTCGCTCATCATATTTTTTCTGGATCTTCTTTGAACGCTTCTTGTTCAGAATTTCCTCCTCCTCAGGAGTCTAAAAACAAGGCCATGAACGAAGGCAAGGTTAAGCATACGATGACCTACTGCTAGAGCAGGCTCAAAGCTGCAGAACTTTCTCCCCAACAATACCAAGAAAACCCTTGTATTCTCAGCACCGCACTACCGCATTTCCTGAGTCACACCTTCCAGAGGTACAAATCCTTCAACATCCAATATCAGGTGCTGCTTTTTGAGCCCAAGAGATGCAATGTTACTAGAATTCACCAGTGAGAGCACAGCACCCTATGAAAGGTTGCTCTCTAGACAAATTAAACTGCAAAGCTTTTCTCCATGTATTAATCCTCCTCCAAAATAAAATGAATCCTCTCTTCCCTTCCAGAGAGAATGAGGAAGTGCTTGGATGTGGTCAAATCCTAGCAGGGTAGGTTATAAGCTCTCTCAGCACTTCTCAGCTAAACAGTAGTCAGCTCAGAAGTAATTTTTTTGTTTTTTTAAATACAGGGGCGCAACCTTGGACAAAATACAGCATGTAGGGAGTTTAAAAAACTTTGACAGTCTGGGATTTGGATTTTAAAGCAAAATTAAAGATAATGGATCCAGACAGTTTAAAGATACTTAAAACCCCAAACAAGCAGAAGTTTAGCTAGCAACCAACAAGCTTCTAATCGGAAGGAAGTGACCATTCCCCAGCACAAAGACCTGACCTGCAAAGTCTTCCTCAGCATCGTAAAATGTCATCGCTCTCCCTTCAGTAGCAGAACTGGACAAAGCTATCATCATTAGAAGACCAAGTGATCTACAGGCAGGCCCCCGTGCATAAATGGGTGCAATTCCCCAGAGAAACTCTGTAGTACGGAACATTTTGTAAACAGAGTCAGATTTATTCTGGGAACTGATGAGAACACAGCCCAGATGATGACAGCTACTACTGAAGAGCACTCAATCCCATTCCAGCGGATGTTGTTCCCTAACAATGGCTAGCTGCATCTTCTAACAAGCTAGACTCTACTCTCTGTCAAGCCATCAAAAATGACTCTCAGCCTTGCAGAAACTGCACAATCCAAGACATACCAGCTTGGCACCCTTCTTGCGTCCAAGAGGCAAGGCATAGTGGGCTTCATACCACTGCCGGTATGGGGTGCTGTCAACAAGAACAATGCAGTTCTTCACCAGGGTCTTTGTCCGCACCAATTCATTGTTGGAAGCGTTGTAGACAACATCAATGATTCTGGTCTTGCGAGTGCAACCTTTCAAAAGAAGAATATGAATTCAAACCTACAGGAGTCAAATAACTGAAAATATAGTCCACAGCATCTCACACATACCCTAAATGCTGATCTCACACTTTGAAGTTCACCCAAACGTCCTCCAGCTTCCCTGGCACTGTCTTTAATTTAACTAACAGATGCATCTCTTCTTTCATCAGTCCAACTTTCTGTTGCTAGGACAGTAGCCTCTTCCTGGAAAATGATTCATTCTAGATGAAAAATAGGCATCTGCGGCCTTGCTGGAATTCATCTCACATAAGACTGAGTGATGATGAAAACAGAGTTTCTGGCCTGAAAGATACTTCAGCAGACACCAACTGAGAGTTACTGAAATAAGCTGTATTGAATGGGATTACTCTGGAAATCATTTTTACAGAATCAGGGCTTATGAGTAAATTGAGAGCAAGCTGGTATTTTCACCCTTCATGACTCACCTAAAACATTCAGCGTTAGCTACCAGATTTGACCATTCAGCAGTTGCCAGCCCTGGAGACCCAGCCTGCCATGCATGCAAAGGACAGGCACAGCGTGGCAAGAATCAAGGTGGGCTTCCTTCTCTTCACTCACATACCTCATTCTTGCTCTGCAAAGTATTGTCAGTCCCTTTACTTCTGTGATGCTGCCTACAAGGGACCACAGCTTTCACAATGTGGACAATGCTCTGTATTCACTGAGGAGAAAGCATGTGCTTTCTCCTTTGTGCCACACTGTTCACTGAAAAACAGCCTTACTTACCGTTGGTTTTTACCATTATACTGAGCTACAAGAACTGGGCCCAGGCTCAAAATATATGCTTTTTATCTAGTAATTCAGAGAACAAAAATCACCTTTTCTAAGGGACAGTTTACTTAAGACTCCTCTCTCACTTCCATGCTTCCCACTCCTGCTTTCCAATGCAGCAGGAGGAATTAAAAAACATATGCTAACATACCACCCTCCTGAAGCCACTCCTTTGCACAGAAATCCTTACACCCTTCTCTCTTCTGCAGGACTACCTAACCTTTAGTAAGTGTTCATCAATAAACTGGGCAGCAAACAAATCACATTTATACCTCTACCAATATTTCGTTTTGCAAGTGGTTTTTTGCTCCTCTGCAATTCCCACCTACCCCAGGGAAAAAACTAATACAAGCATTTCACTCGGTGTAACTATGACACTCCAATCACTGTGAGCTTAGCAGAGATATCCTAGTCTCCTAAGCCCACATAAGATCAAAGTTATCATCGTTCTGCATACTGCTTCAGATCCAGTTGTGTAAGCTCCAGTGTTCAAAACTAGCCTAACATTCATGCTTGCATCATCATTCCCTCTGCTCCGTGGCAGTAATGATGGCCGAAACAGCTGGACAAAGGCTGCTCTCTTGAAACGCATCAGGCTTTTGATGTACTTACATTCAGACCCCCAAGAGAAGTTGCCAACATCCAACCGAAGGGCACGATATTTCTTATTACCACCACGAACCCTCACTGTGTGAATTCGGCGCGGGCCAATCTATAGCCAAAAAACAAAAATTACAGTATCACTGGGGCGGGTATGGTGCACAGCACATGCAGAAGATAGGAACTGAGCCAAGACCTAGGCTCAAAGGCAATGTGGTCAGTGTAACTATGACAAACCCCAGCATTGGCAGATGCAGTAAGCAACCAAAACGGTCTGTTGCATCCGCCTAAGGTGGAAATTTCATCACTCCAATTGCCTCTTACTGCAAAAATTTATCACTGCATTTCTCAGGTACCAGGAAAAATACTGCAGCTTAAAGAAGCAGTGACAAACATTTAACCACTCATGAAACACAGTATGTGCTTAAGCCTCTAGCAGTATTTGACCAACAAATCGAATCTGAAAAAAACCAACTACTGACCATCCTCTCTAAATCACCCACCTTAGTGTTGGCAGGAGGTCGTCCCAACTCATACTTCCTCTTTTTATGGTAGGGCTTCCTCTTGCCCCCAGTCTTGCGACGCTTGTGCCAGTTATCTCTGGAGATACCTGGATGAAGAGCAGCAAGGTCAGAAGATGGTACGCAGGCCACCTGGCTATGGCAGGGCAAGGCTCTGAGTCCTCAGCTCTCCAAGGTTGGTATCCGCACGGTGCACTCAGCCTCATGCAGCAGTCAGAGATGCTTCATCATTGATACTCAGAGCCACCTCGATCTACCCCCTTCCAGCAGGGCTGCACAGGGTGTGGAAGACTCCTCCATCCCAACGCTGTCTCCTACATGCCCCAGACCCCCTGTGACAAGCAACCTCCCATCCTACCCCATCCGCAGCAGTCCCCTGGGGGAAGGGCCCACCCGGACTTGCTAGGGTGGACACCCCTCACTGTCTCCAGGTCTCCTAGGGAAGAGGGGACCCCATCTTTCCCACAAGGGAGGCATCCCCCTCCACCCACCTCCCCGGGACCCCGAGAGGGACCGTTTTCCCACCACGCCCCATCCCCTGCAGGAGCTACCCCCATCAGCTAGGCTCGGTAGAGGAGTTATCCCCCTCCCCACCTGCCGGGTCCCCGGGAGAAGATGCCCCACCTCATCCGCGGCTCCCCGCGCTCGGCGTCCCCCCGCCCGCAGCCCGGCGCTCGGGGCCGCAGCGAGGCGCCGCGCGGCCTCCCCCCTCCCC